AAAAAAAAAAAAAAAAAAAAAAAAAAAAAAATACAAAAAAAGTAACCATAAAAAGTAAATTGAGAAAGTGTTTTAAAAGCGTTCCACTAATAAAAATATATAAGCATATTATTATATCATCTACATACATAGATATTATTATATCTATTAAGTTCACATCAGGCGTAGGTCTATTAAATCTTACCAACTATCACGAAGCACACACAACAACAACACACAGAGGTCTGTCCAATTATTGATATGCGTGGGCACTTTTTTAATAATGGCAATAAAAAGCAACAACTCAATTAATTAAATATCCATATAAAAAGGCAGAATTACAAATGCCAACAACAGCCAACGACAGTAATAATAACAAATAAACGGCAAACAAAATAGCGGCCCACATTGGAAAAAATCACACACACACATACATACATACACATCCACAAACATGTGAATATGTTTGTGTTTGCTTTACTTCATTATCGTAAAAAATGCTAACCACATGCAAATTTAATTGCTTGCCTCGTTTTTTTGACTGAGCTTAAATAAAAGAGAAGCAGAAAACAACAACAGCAACAAAATAATCCGCAGACTTTCCCGTTCAAGCATGCACGTGTGTGTGTATATATATATATTCCATTCGCTGGAAGACAGCGTGGGAGTTATGATGATCATAAAGTGTTGGAAGTTGCGACGCAATTCGTGGCTCTGTCATAGATAGTATAACCATAAAGCACAATGCGCTCTTATACACACAGACAGAGGCTTATACTCACGCACACACACACATACACATACATACAACGATAATCCACGTGTGGTGTCTGCTTTTAGTGTGTGACAAAGCGGCTTATGTGGACGCGCAAAGAGGGAACTAAATAGCGATTAGCTGCTCACAACTTGTACAAGTGCACACACTCACACCCGCACAGAGGCACATGCAGACAGTCGCACCCACCTATACATACATGTGCTTAGTTGTCAATGTGTATATTTAAGTACGTCTTAATAAGCAGCCACTAAGAGAGTGAGCAGTTTTAAGTGACAAGTTGACAACACACAACGACTTAATTACGGAGCGCCGCCTCTCACCGGTGACGTCATGGCAACAACAGCGAACGCACTCACTCTAACGTGCGTTCTCCTCTTGCTGTCCTTCTCTATCTTCCGTTTGAAAATTTCGATAAGCTTGAGCATAATTTGGTTTTCTTTTTTCTGTTTTGTTCTTTTTTTTTTTTTTTTTTTTGGTTGTCTACATATTTCTGTTGTGTGACAAATAGTTATTTGACTGGGCTCTGCTTGCTGTCTGCGCTATCACGTTATCTTATCAGAAATCAGCTACCGTGTGTGCTCGGGCAACGGCAACATGTTAACCCAAATCATATTTCAAGCACTTGAGTGGGTTATCAGTAAATTGCGAAAAGTGTTTTAATTGCCAAGTCGTTAAGGTGTCTGCCAAGTGCAGTTCCTACGGCAAATCACTGCCACAGTGCAGCCACACCGAGGAAGACAACGACAGAGAGTGAGAAAGAGAAAGAGAGAGAGCGAGCCTGACGAAGAGCGGATGAAACAGAGAGATCGATAAGAGGGCGGGCAGCGTTAATCGCGAAACTCGAAAGGCCGCCACACTTTAAAGGCAACAAAATTGTTATTTATGTATTTTTGTTTTATTTTCTTCATCAGTTTATTTTTGTTCCTACTTTGCATGTTTTATTTATAGCGATATATTAATTGTGTGTGTGTGTGCATTTGTGTTTGTGCAGTTCTTTACTTACTTTTTTTTCAATACTAATTTTTCGCTTCTTTTTTGTCATTGCAGTTTTGAAAATGAACTGTTTGGCCCGAGGGCCGAGGCCCTGCGTCTCCACCCTCTACGCGACAGTGCGGCAGCAGTGCAACATCAACAATAGCTACTACAAGAATAAGAGCATCAACACGCAGAAGATCAGCAACACTGGCTGCAACACACTAAAAAGTACGTTCCTAGGCACAATTAGCAGTA